TGCGGAATTTTCGGTGGTGTAGTTAGGACTTTATGAGTTTGGTAAAGGATATGGGATATTGGTTGGTGAGCATTTTCATCAGCAGGCCTTCATGCCAAACCGTATCGAAGGCCTTTGCGACGTCCAGGAAGACAGCACCAGTGTACTGTCCCCTGTTGAAGGCCGCCGTGATGTGCTCGGTAAGGCGAAGGATTTGGAGTTCAGTGGAGTGATTGGGTCGGAAGGCGAACTGCTCGTCTGGAATGACTTGCAGTTCTTGGGAGTGGGGGAAGATATGGAAGAATGAATATTTGCATAACCTGCAGCAAAGGTCTAAATGGAAGTTCCAATCAGATGTCTCTTCCCTAATATGATCATTAGTTTTTCTTAAGGAAGATAATTCACCACCACAACAGTGGCCCAAGGGCAGAATAACAGCGATCCATCCAGGGCATGACAATATAGTGAGGGTAGTGAGTGTCAAGACACCTAGTGGTGTAGTGAAACATGCACTGGGGAGGGTTTGCGTGCTACAATTAAACTCAAATTAAGTACGTGGCTTCATCTCCTTTATTGAAAGGGAACCTTTCAAGGGGGGCGGCATGTTCCGCCACGCGCCATAAGGTTCCGTCCAACCCCCCTTCTTCATTGTTTTGAGGTGTGGGACGAAAGCGAGGGTGTGGGCACACAAGCCCTACACTACACAGATGAGTTTCGGTTAGTGTTAAGAGACCTTGTGAGAAATTATTATAAGTCATTAAATAAGTGAAAAATCAAGCCAAAGGCTTCATTAACAAAATCAATCAGTGCCCCGTAATCATCCTGTCTGCCAGGGCGGGCAAAAAGAGACATCAGAAGGTGCGTCGTGCACAATCAAACATTCTTATTAAGCGTAAAATTTAAAATTTGGCGCAAATAATTCACACTAGAGAATGCGAATATGTACTAATATTCGGAACATCGATAATAAAAATAAACAAACAACGAGTTTGAAGCTTTTAATTTTAATAAATGTCCTTTAAATATTTTTTGGTATCTATACAGTGCATTTTCGATGTCATGGGTATCACGGTTATTATAATCGGACGTTGAATAAGTTCTCACTGTGTTCCAATAGATGGCATTACCAGAATTGCAAGCGTGTAGTTTAAGATGGTAACACACGTGTTACACAAATAATATAAGCAAGCTTGAACTTCAGTGTATATTATTTTGTCGAAGTGTAAACGGTTTTTGTTTTGATAATGTTAAACATGTCGAATTTCGTGCCGAACAAATAGCGGGGAGTTTTATTGTACCTACTATTTTATTCAAAATATCTGTAGTTGAAGCACACATAATTTTTGTTGAGACTTACGGTTACCATGTTCTATCGCAAACAACATGCAGAGATTAGACGCTTAAAAAATAATGGTTTTGAAGAATATAAAGAACGCTCTGATGCACCGAAACGGTTTGAAGATGAGGAACTGCAGGCATTACTTCATGAAGACTCATGTCAGACGCTAATTGAACTTGCAGAACGTTTGAAAGCATTAATAATGCAAAAGCTAGGACATTGGATGACATATATACGAGTTGAAGCCGAGATACGTGTCACGGCGTCTTTGTACTTGTGAACAGCTGCGTCAACGGCAGAAAAGTAAAGTTTTTTGCATCGTTTCGTACAATAACTGGTGATGAAAAATACTACTCATAAGTCTAAAGCAAGCCCGGTCATGCGCCAACATCGTCGGCAAACCGAATACAACCATCACGGGAGATCGCTATCGACTACAATTGATGCGTTTGATCCGGGAATTGAAGGAAAAACGACCGCTATATGAGTAGAGACACGACAAAGTGATTTTGCAGCATGGCAACGGTCGGCCACATATTGCAATACCCGCGAAAACGTAGGAACATGCTTGGAAACTTGTGACAGTTAATAGCGCTAGTCAGGCCCGGTCTGGCTCATTCGGGGGTCGTCGGGAAAAATGGAAATCGGGGCTTATTTGGTTTTGTCTGTTATTAGGGTGCATATCGACTCTCCCAAGGAAAACTGTCGTATCTCAAATTTGGTTATACTGAGACAATTGCATTTGGATAGTGTTCTGAATTAATCGTTCATCTTTAACAAAGTAATTATTGTTTAGGTCTTAATTAATTATTGATGATCTAAATAAAATAGTTTAGGATAAGAAAAAAATGGATTTTGAATGAGTTACTACAGTTTTCGTGGACAAAATTTTTATTGAGAAACTACTTGCTACACTAATAAGGTACAGAAAAATTAAACATTTTCTATTTTTAGATAAAAAAATAATTGTTAATAATCAATAATGACATATAAGGAAAATTTATTACGATTCAGAGTCAGAGTCATCTTCTTGGTCAATATTACTTTCTTTCTGGTGGTCAGTTGTAAGGGAGTTGTAAAATCCATGATACTTACATCGGTGGTAAAAAATTAGCCTTACAAAGACCCAATAGACCGCTTAATTTTTTACCATCAATTGGCAGCAAACCTTGATACAATCTTGGAAATTGATATTCTTCGTGTTTGCGTGTATTTTTTGTTTGTAAGTCTAGTTCTTTATGATTTTCTCCAAAATTATCCACAAAAAATACTTTATTGTGAGACTTTGGATTGCAGTGGATTTCTCTGATTTTGCTAAATTTTACAGCCTCTCCAGTAATATATTTTTTCCAGTTTTGTTTCTTTATCATTGGTTTGAAAGTTACAAAATCTTCTTGAGACATTTCTTTTACTTTGTACTGTGGGGCAGTCATTTTGGCCATTTTTATTATACTAATCCACTGATCAGGACTGTCAGGAGTGCATCTAGCAAGATCTAGAGTGACGTTTTTTGCAACTTCAATCACAGCATGTGTCCAATTTTAAGAAAACGGTGTGTTATTGCCAAATCCAAAGTCATTGATGCATAAGCAAACATCGCAAAAACAAAATGATTACGGTTTTGACCACCGCAATTGTCGGCATAAAGAATAACCTTTCGTATGCCATTTTCTTTAACACTTTTTAAAAAGATCCATGAACAACTTCCAATTTCATCCGGTCCTTTCTTCGATATTGCTCATACCATACATAGCAATAGCTTTGATTGCTGCCTAAATCATAAATTGTAAAGTTGTATGCTGCGATTTTACTTTTATAATAAAAATCGGACTTCTGACTTGGGCGTTACTAACACCTTCTGCAAATCAAACCAAGCTGTTATTAGAGATTTATCAATTTTCGAAAATTCTTTATCAATGTCTTTCAGATTTGGAACAGCGATTTTGTTTAAATTATAATTAATATAATCATCTTCTATTTTTTCTGTTCTCTTCTTGGGATCTGTATTCTTATAGGCACTACACACGGAACACTGATCTTTTTTGGCTTGAAAGCTATATTAAATTTCAAATTAAGAGTAGCCCTGTATTGTCTGAGTGGAAAAATGGCTTTTCTAGCTTCTTCATTTATTATTTTGTTGCATTTATACCTGCAAGCTTCTTTACAAGGTGATTTCATTACCTTTGCAAAAATAAGTTTGGCTTTACGATTTTTATGTAATAAAAATTTCATTCAAGTTTTAATTTATAAATTGATTCTGTCTCACTCAGGGAGCGTGCAATGCGCAAACGCGGCAGGCATGACAGAAGCTATTTACATGTTATCATCTGGATCGAGCTTGCAAGGCACTCTCCCATCTATTTGCAGCTCAAATTAAAGTTTATTAGTTATTTCAAGCACCATCTTTAAAATATTAAAAATATATTTTTAATATACTTACCCTTGCAGTACTTATTCCGTTTTTACATAATTTTTTTAACAGAAAAAAACTCATTGTGATAGGTGACTTTGAATCGTCCTTTCTCCGGCTCCAGTACAATCTACGAATATCTATTTGCAGTTCAAATTAAAGCTCATTTCAAGCGCTATGCCGCTATCTGTAGGAATATAAGTATACTTACCACTGCAGTACTCATGCCGTCTTCACAGATTTTATTTACGCTATAGCTCTATAGGCTACGTTCAAACTATTATTGGTTTTAAAATTATATAAAATTATATTAATATAGGTAATAAATTTAAACCTATCGACCCAGGATACAGGATACAGGAAATCAATAATAGTTTGGACATAGTCCGAGGGCTTTAAAAAATTTTAAAGCTCTCGGTTATTATTCATATTCTCATTTTTTCTTCCGAGCACATAACTTATACGGCTATAGGGTAAAGGGTTATTATAAGGTTAAAAGACTTACAGTTTGGGAGATATTAATTTCTCTCGTTTTTCCTCCAAACCCACGGCTTATAAATAAAGGAGTTATTTAGTTTAAAGGCCTTACGGTTTGGAATATATATTTATTTCTCTCTTTATTTCCTGTAGGTACACTGTTTATAGGGGTATAGGGCAAAATAATAAAATTTATGTTATTTTTTTGACCTGGGAAAATCCTATTTCTATAAAAGATTCAATTTTCATTTTTACGTTCTTCTTTTTTCTTTTCAATTTAAGGTGGCTATATCTCAAGAATTTATAAAAAAATTTCTTATACTTTTGGCGCCTCATTAGTCGTTGGAGGGCCTATCTTCCAAAATAAGTCGGGTTTTGCTGACTGCCCGACCTGGCCTGGCACTAGTAACATAATTGATGAAGATTAGAAACAGAAGTGGTTCCAAATAAGACCCTTGTGGTACACGAGAGGTTCATATATAATTGAAGAATATTCTTTATGTTCTACAAATTATTTACGGTGACACAGATATGAGTTAAACAACGAAATTAAAATACTAGAAAATTCAGATACCTTTAATTTGTTTAATAATGGCTATGGATCAATTTGGTCTAGTGTTTTTTTTTGAATATCCGTTATAATCAATATTAACTTGATCTAGCCCGAGTTAAGCAACATAGGTTAGTAACAGTAGATCTTTTTTCTAAAAATCTGTGCTGGTCACAAACTATTAAACAAATTTTTATACCCTTTAATCCGAAAGCTAGGTATTTATATTATTTCTGATGTTTCAGGAGTACTATCAGCCATCTACACCACCAAAAGCCAGCCTCACAAGGGTATTTCTACCAGTGTGATTCTTCTAAAAACTATCGGTGCCGGGGATCCTCCCACCGGCGCTCAGCCCCCTCCTCCGCCTCCGACCAAAGATTCGGGAAGTGGGGGCGGCAAAAATAAAAACACCCTGTCCTGTCCGAAGTGCGGTGACCCCTGCACCCACGTAGAGACTTTCGTCAGCTCTACAAGATTCGTGAAATGTGAAAAATGTCACCATTTCTTTGTAGTGTTGAGTGAGGTGGATAGTAAGAAGAAGATCGGAGTCGACGAGAAGACCGGACAGTATAGGAAGCCGCCCCCGCCGCCCAAGAAGATCTACGATTATTTAAACAAGCACGTGGTGGGGCAGGAGTATGCTAAGAAGGTCTGTTCGTACTTTATTTCTTTTATTAGTAGTAAGTGCTACAAATGTATTTTTTTCAATTCAAAGTATGCTGAAACGTGCAAGCTGAACGTTTTGCGACATATTTATGTTTAACTACAGCAGAGTTAGCTGTACAAGAATATATTAAATATTTCATTTTTACAATTAAAAATAAATTAAAGAGATGTAATAATAAATGTAATCTTAATGTTTCTGTTAGCTGTAAAGCTGTAGTAGTTGGCATACTTCACTTCTTTTATGCAATTGAAAATATTTGTGGGTATCTCATAATTTACATACCAAACTTCATCTGTATATTCTATAAAGATATAAAACGTTTTAATAAACACGGGCCCGAAATTCTTAAATCTTCCTAATGAAGTTTTTACTCGATAACTCTGATTGTGAAACTTGTAGGAATAAATAAATGATTTTTTATTCGAAAATAAGAAAAAAAAGTTCTAATAAACACAGGTTCATTTTAGAGGTGTACAATAAAGGGCCTGTAGCTGTCATAGGAAGCATTTGTGGACCTGTACCTTTTTGAACTTTTTTCGCATAGTGATGAAGTTTGGCAGGTTAATTATGGGACACCCTGTATGCACGTTTAACGTTTTCTTCAGGTATTATCCGTGGCTGTGTACAATCATTACAAAAGGATATACAACAACAACCCCAATCAGGCAAACAATTCGAGACAAGAGATGGCAGTAATGGAACAAGGTCCACATCAAAATATCACCCACAGAGGTAAGTTTTTTTAAATCTTCTCGTTTTACTTCATTGGTATGAAGTTATTATGAATTTGATGTTTTGTATTCCTAACCGTTAGTTTTTATAATCTTGTAACAACAATGTGCAGATCAACTACATATCGCAGGTTTGGGACATGCGGCGATGGGTTTGAATTTCGGAGGTAATACGGACGGGGGAATTGGTGCAATGAGGTCTTCTCAGGCCACGGGGTCTGATATATTAGATAAGACTTCACACGAGCTGAAATTAGAGAAAAGCAATATCCTACTCCTGGGACCTACGGGATCAGGTGAGATCAAAATGTGGGCAGTAACGAGTTGTTTAGATAGATCATTGTGAAAAAGAGAAGACAGTTACAAAATTTTTCCTAAACTTTTTCAAAAAATATTTTTATGGGGAATATATATGTATATTTTAAATTATATTTCTTCTTGTTTTTCTTATGACACTTCAATATTTAAAAACCACAAGAAAAGGAGGTTTGTCACCAAGTATTAGTTTTGGTATCGACAAATTTTAATAAAGATCTCAGTTTATTTATGAAATTATATTAAATCAGTCTCTAACAGCATTATAATTAAAAATGATCGATTACACAGGCACTCAAAAATATATTTTTTTCATATACTTTTTAACCCCCCTATATTTTCATCCACTGAAGACTATGGAGCCATCGGAAATTTATTTGTGGTTTCTGTAATGGAAAGAGTATGGCGGCTCAAAGAGAGTATTGACAACGTTTCTAATTCTTGAAACAATTGCTGAAAAAGTGGAAATTAATTGGTTTGTTCTGCAAGAATAATGACTGTGTTTGGCAGGCAGCACAGATTTTTAATGATGGATCGGTTGCAAACAGAAAGCATCAACGTGAACAGGTTGTATGTAATGAAGGTATCAGGTCCTGGGTCGCATCGCAATGGAACCAAATTTGAGTCTCAGGAAATTTGCAAGTACTTCAAGAATTTTTGTACCTAGTTGCCGCCGAATCTTAAAACAGCCATACAAAATTAATTAGATACAAGAAATTAATGAAGACGATCCTGATCGCCGTTTGCAGTTCTGTGAAGAAATGAGTGATCGTGCTCGAAGGAATCCAAATTTTTTGTACTCAGTTTGTTTTTTCTATGAATGTATGTTCCAACTGGATGGTCGAGTCAATCGTCATATATGCCGGTACTGGAGTGATGAAAATCCACGCATGTTTCATGAAACTCATATGCTGCATCCGAGGAAATTGTATGTTTGGGCGGGCACTCGATGAACGCAGAGGTTTAATTGAGTGACCTCCCAGATCGCCAGATCTAACTTTTTCTATGGGGCGTTTCGTCGACGAATTGTCGAAGAATGTCGTCAGCTAACGCCCGAAGTCCTATGAAATGTTCGTTCAGAAGTGGAACAAAGATTTTATTATTGTATGGAAGGGAAACCAAATTAAACATTTAATAACATTCTTTCATACATTCATATTTTCTCTTATTTCTTAAGTGAAGTCATATCCGAACCAAAATTTAAAAAGTCGTATGTCGTCGTGAGCAGAATTGAAAAAGCTTTAAAATGAAGTGTCACTAAACATAGGGTGCCATTTAAAGTTCAGGGATATTTTACCCTCCTTCTTAAGGGGTAGCTTCCAAGACACTAAAACTTATGCCATTACATGTCCTCCTTCAAAATAAAATTGACGTATCAGGTTTTCTTTGTTTTTTTTTTAATTCCGATATTTTCCAGGTGGGAAGTTTTAATTGGAACACCCTATATATGTTTTTTCATTTTTTACGTCATATTCTCATAGTAAAAATTTGTGAAAAAAAAGATGAAATTGGATGTTGCCCACCTTGAGATCTCGAAAAGAGTTACATATTTTTATTTGAAATCAATTAATCCATTTTTTTTTTCTTCAAAATAATTTTGTATATGATAAAAAAACATCAGTCGAGTATGAAAAAAAATATTTTGCACATAATATATGTGCAACCATTTTCGAGATCGCAGTGTTGGCAACCTTTATTCTAATCTTTAATTATGCAAATTCAATCGGAAATTTTTTCGTAATGAAAGTTCTTTGTGTAAGCAGAGAAATAACCTTAATTTTCACCTGTCGCACTGTTTTTTACCATTTATCGTATTGATATTCTTCATTTTTTCAAACACGAATATTGGCTAGCCCTGCGGCCTTTCTACAATGGAGTTGTTTCCATAAAAAAACTTAGATGTTTGTCAACTAGACGGCGGTGTCAACTGACTTTACGATATGTTGTAATATACCTCCTTTTCTCCTGTGGTCTTCGTTTCACCCAGAATAATTCTAAATGTTATTCTTATAGGTAAAACTCTCTTAGCTCAAACCATAGCTCAGTGCTTAGATGTGCCTTTTGCAATTTGTGATTGTACCACCCTAACCCAGGCGGGCTATGTTGGAGAGGACATAGAAAGTGTTATCGGAAAGTTATTACAGGATGCTAGTTATAGTGTGGAACGGGCCCAGGTGGGGATTGTTTTCCTAGATGAGGTAGACAAAATCGGTGCCGTGCCCGGGATACACCAGCTCAGGGATGTTGGAGGTAAGATGCTGCAAAGAAACGCAACCAAAATATAATTTTCTTAGCGTAATCGTGACTTTTATTCTCGTAACAGACATAATCATGATTTTTAACTGGAATTGGAATAATCCCAACTGTTTAGAGTGGCATTAGAATAACTGAAATTGTTTATGTAAAGATTAGCGCAATATGGCTGTTCTATGTAGAGATTTAGATTAGATTTAGGTTTGGGAAGTGTGCCGGTCTAGAAATAAGTCTTGTACCCTTTATCTGCCTATATGGAAATACATTGACTGGACACACACAGGTAAAGGCACATCTTGAAATAATTCAGGCAAAGTGTTTTTGTACAAAATCTAAATAATTTTCACGTTACGTTCAAGGTGGAAGAAAGAATGGCCCGATAAGCATGCCGGCAACAAACTCAGCGTAAATACTTGATAAAAATCTTTTCTGAAAATGTGTTTCTTGTCACACAACAACATAGGAGTTATAGAAATTGCTCATTCCATCTCATGTATGTGAATTAATTTATAATTCAATTTCGCGTAAATGTTATTTTGTCTGTAGGCAAAATAAATTTTGTGAAAATTTGATGTTGGTATGCTTGTCTTTTCTACTAATGTTATGGATAAAATTGTTCCTGTCTTATTATTGTCCTTACGATACTGTAGGCAGGCCATTCCACATTCCATCTTAATTTATTAAGGATTTCGGACAATACAAGTCTTCCGGAATATTTTCTTTGTTACTCTTCTTTTAAACATCTTGAGTCACGACACCTTTGAACTATATACAGGGTGTATCCTCTACCGACAAACAGCAGGCACATGTAGAGGATCTTAAAATATGCCGATTTGTTATGTAACGTTTTTTCTGGGATGTACCGTTGAAGAGATATTGGCCGTAGAGCAACCAAATTTGGTACATGATTTGCGTTTATTGTTATCTTTAATTGGTAAAAATATATATTTGTTGGAAACCCAATAAGGGCTGGACTAGGGGTAGGGCACCCTTAAAATGATATCTATTTTTTATCAGTATGCCAATTATTAAATAGTTTTACCAGTATTACAGGAAATTTAATTTTAAAAATTTTACTTTTACAAATTTTTCGATATTTTGAGAAAATCGGGATTTTGTGAAACAGCTTCATTACTGATTCGGACAAAAAGTAAAGTATGCAGTTTTAAGACTAGTAGGCTATGATTTCTTGTGTTATTTTTGACTTTTACAAAGCAGTATCAAGAAAAAGGAACCTTATAAACAAAACATTAACAAATTCAATTTTAACCACGTGTAAAATAAACAAATTTTTTTAAGGAGGTTCGATACATCTCTTGCGGAGCAGGCGTTGCAGGAGGGTAGCCTATGCCTATACACGGTAGTTTCTTTGTAGTACCAACTTTACTTAAACAAATTTGAGCGAACTAAATATAATATATACGAATGAAATTTATACAACACATGTCGAGGGTTTCCTGCCAAAAGGACGTATCCACAAAAAGTGACATTTTGGGTTTATGAGCTAACTTTGATACCCAATACCATAAGTTTGTTGCGACAAAAGGTCGAATCTATCTCACCAATAATAACAGTGTCCTCGATATTAGCTTGCATATACATATTTTTCGTGTTTAATGCACGGCAATTAACTTTTTATTTGAATAAAAGTGTCTATTTATTCATTAAGAGCTTGTAAAATTATGGATGAAATCTTGAGTCAACTGTCATTACTGTCAACTGTGCTTTGCGCGTATTCTGTAAATATGTATGAATGAACATCCAAGATACAAAGGAAAAATAATGACTGAAAAGCAATATAAAATGTGTATGAAGCAGAATGTCGATTGATGAGAAAAAAGTAAAATGTACAAAGTGAGACGTCGCTTATCATATTGAAGATTATGACAGAACATCTATACTGTTCGTTTTGCAAAGAAATCCTTTCAATTTTTGTTTCAAATTGCTATTATATTGCATTAGATCATGAAAAATTTATTTAATAATTATTACTACATATGTTTTCAAAGATTTCAATGATTTTGAAAACTTTCTTACAATTTTTTTTTGCGGTATCGAACCTCCTTAAAGCCCCCCAGAGAAAGAAACTACATTTATTCAGATCTGGTGATCTTGGCGGTCAATTTTCTGGACTATCATTTCCTCGTCCTATCAATCTATTCAGGAACTGCTGGTTGAAGAAGTCTCGTACATTAGCACTCAAATGCGGTGGAGCACCATCGTGTATGAACCGCATTTCATGTCTTAATTGCAAAGGTAAATCCTCGAGAAGCTCAGAGAGTATTTTGTAAAAAAATAAATAATTTTCGCCAACTGGTTTGGTTGATTTGGAATAACTGGCCCAACCAAATAACGTCCAATAATTTCAGCCCACATGTTTATTTTAAATTCATTTTGAAAATGACAAGGAATTATAGCATGTTCATCTAAATATTAATGGAAATTATGCAAATTTGTGATTCCTCTTCGAGTGAAACAGGCCTCGTCCATAAAAAGAATCTTCTCATGAAACCTAATACCCTGACGTAAAATGAAATAACATAAAGTTAGTCTTCGGCCTAAATCTTGGGGAACAATTGTTGAATATTTTGGATAGATGATGAGGCAGATTACGTCTTATAATTGGATGGATTGTGGCATGTGTATATTAAATTGTCTAGCTAGGTAATCGCCTAGTGCTGATATGAGGGTCATTCTCAGTACTTCTTAAAAGTCGTACCTCGTTTCGTGCGATTACTGCATGATTAACACGTCTTCCTTCATTGCTGACTAGAACTGATCCAGTCTTTCGAGCCCTCCTCTCAACATTAGCAAACATCTCTCGGTGTGGCATCAAACGATCAGGAAATCTTGTTTGTCGACGATTACCCTCACAAAACCCCAATACTAACATGTCAACTTTTTCACGAAATGAAAATTTTGCAGGCATTTTCCAAGATAATAGAATGGTATGTCGTACTGTGCAGTCTTTTAAATTGTCAAAAATTACTCATGAAATCATAGCCTACTAATTGTAAAACTGTATACTTTACTTTTTGTCCAATTCAATTAGTAATGACGCTGTTTCACAAAATACCAATTTTTAAAAAAAAAATTGTAAGAGTAAAAAAATTTTTAAATTAAATTTCCTGTAATACTGTTAAAACTATTTAATATTTGGCATACTGATAAAAAAATCGATATCATTTTCAGGGCGCCCTACCGCTAGGCCGGTTCTTATTGAGCTTCCACTTAATATTTTTACTAATTAAAGATAACAATAAACGCAAATAATGTACCAAATTTGGTTGCTCTATGTTAAGGCATTGCTGAAATATTACTGTTTTTCAAAATTTAACACTCATCTTCAGGGGCCAATATCTCTTCAACGGTACACCCCAAAAAAAAAATGTTACATAACAAATCGGCATATTGTAAGATCCTCACAGATGCCTGCTCTGTGTTGGTAGAGTTATGAAACACCCTGTATACAGCTCGTTAGTCTTATTTTAATTTAATAATACTTTATAAAAAGTTTTCAAAAAAATATATTAGACTAGCGACTTAAGTTTTCACTTGTTTCTGAGAAGGAAACTTTTGTGTTGGTGACTTCTTATTAATCAAAATTTTTCCTGATATACAGGGTGTTAGTAAATAAGTGCGACAAATTTCAGGGGGTGATTCTACATGAGAAAATAATGGCAGTTTGCTTATAAACGTATATCCGCAAATGATTTGTTTTCCGAGATACGGGGTGTCAAAGTTTTTCTCAAAAACTGCCGATTTAATTTATTACTCTGAAACCGGTCGAGATGTGCAAATTAAATTTGGTGGGTTTTAAGAGGTAGTTATTGCGCATTTTTTGACACGCAATTAAGAATTTTATGTTCATCATTGGCGCGTGTACGAGTAATAATCTCAATTTTTTTAAAGAAAAAAATGGTACGCCACTGAGATATTACAAATTAAAAATCATTTTTGAATTCCTCGTTCAATTTGTGACAAAAAATCTCTTGCCTTTTCTTCGTATGGGGCGCCGTTTTGATGCAAAAAAATAAAACATCTTAACGCGTATTTTTTATTTCTTTAATACATTATCAAGAACTATCTAATACAATAACATTAAACCAGAACAATAACAGAAAATAACACTAATAAAATTTTGAAAAGGAGCAAAGCTACAATGTTCAAAATGACCTCCCTCAGACGTGACACAAGATTCAACTCTTCGCCTCATCGATTGTCGTATTCGCGCAAATATTCCTGGTATATTTCTTATTGTCTCACAGCCGACTATAATTCGATTCCTCAGGTCATCAACATTTTCAACGGGAGTGGAATAAACTAATGACTTAAGAAAACCCCAAATGCAAAAATCAAGGGGATTTAAATCCGGCGATCGAGCATGCCAATGTTCTGTACCTCCCCTACCTATCCAACGATTTGGATATACTGTGTCTAAGTGATTACGTACATTAATGCTAAAATGGGCTGGTGCACCATCACGCATGTACCATAGGTGTTGTCACAGCTGTAGAGGAATTTATTCAAGAAGAACAGGTAACTCTTCCTGTAGGAAATTAAGATAAGATTCGCCTGTTAGTCGTGGGAGGAAATATGGACCGATTAAATGATCATCAATTACCCCAAGCCATACATTTACGGAAAACTGATGCTGAAAATGAGCTTTAAAGATTCCATGGGGGTTTTCTTCAGCCCATAGGTGATTGTTATGGAAATTTCGTATACACTCATCCAAAAGTAGCCTCGTCAGTAAACAAAACGGCATTTAAAAAATTAGGAATATGAGCGATTTGATGATTAATCCATTGGCGCGGAAAAAAGTCTCTAGGTAGTAGAGCTTGCACACGTTCAATATGAAATTGATACAATTGCTGTTCTTTAAGAATTTTAAATACAGTGAAGTTGCTTACATTCAATATGTTGGCAAATTTTCCAGTAATTCTTTCAGGTGACTCCGCAATTAACTCGAGAACTGCTTCTTCTAGTTGCATAGTTCGTACTTCTCGAGAGCGCCTACAGTCAACCGTTTGTTTCTTAAATGAACCATTTTCGCGCAAACGTTGATGAAGACGAGCAAATATTGTGTGATGAGGTACCCTATGTCCTGGATACAACTCAGCATACAATCGTCGAGCTTGACGACCATTTCCATTACTTCGACAATAGACATATTGCAAGTCTGACAATTCCGCATTTGTAAAATTTTCCATTCTTTTCGATAAAAGAAAAATGAATTACTTATTAACACTAATGTTATAGCAAACTAAAAGCTTAATAAATTAATAATGACGAAACGCTAATTTGACATTTCTTAAAAATATTCGTATTTAACAGACAAATGTTGACAGTAGCCTACTAGGTAATGTATTAAAGAAATAAAAAATACGTGTTAAGATGTTTTATTTTTTTGCATCAAAACGGCGCCCCATACGAAGAAAAGGCAAGAGAGAATTTTTGTCACAAATTGAACGGGGAAATCAAAAATTATTTTTAATTTGTAATATCTCAGTGGCGTACCATTTTTTTCTTTAAAAAAATTGAGATTATTACCCGTACGCGTGCCAATGATGAACATAAAATTCTTAATTGCGTGTCAAAAAATGTGCAATAACTACCTCTTAAAACCCACCAAATTTCATTTGCACATCTCGACCGGTTTCAGAGCAATAAATTAAATTGTCAGTTTTTAAGAAAAACTTTGACACCCCGTATCTCGGAAAATGAATCATTTGCGGACATACGTTTATAAGCAAACTGCCATTATTTTCTCATGTAGAATCACCCCCTGAAATTTGTCGCATTTATTTACTAACACCCTGTATACAAGATGCACATTGTTGGCATTTCCTGTAAACTAAACGCCTGTCTGGTATTTGTTTTCGAGAACATGTATCATCATTTAATAACACATGAGAAAAATCATTATTTATTATAATTTGACTGCCGTGGTGCCACTTGTTTTGTTTTATTCAATAGAAAAAACGTTTTTATTGTTTTATTGTGTGGTGAAATAAAACAATAAAATATGGAATTAAATTAAAAATAAATACTTCCTTTTTTAAAAATCAATTTTATCGCATTTTATATATAAAACACAAAATAAAATAACTAATAACTTCCTAACTAAAAATTTTTGTAACAAAATATGACAACATTGTCTTTCTGACTAGGTCTTATCTATATCGTTCAACTGTCAAAGTTCTTAGATTGACGTTAGTTACAATTTAAAGGAGACATTGTTGTAATCACCTTGTAGCTGTTTTTTAGTTTGCTTCCTAACTCGCTACAAGTCGAACATATTGCCTTGTAATTTGGGGGATGTGTCAGCGCGGCAAAACTCACCCCCTTTTTTTTTGTTACAGGCGAGGGGGTCCAACAGGGTATGTTGAAGATGCTAGAAGGCACAGTTGTAAATGTTCCTGAAAGAAATTCCCCCAGGAAGCTCAGGGGAGAGACAATCCAAGTCGACACGACTAATATACTTTTTGTAGCCAGTGGTGCCTATAACGGACTGGAAAGATTGATACAGAGAAGAAATAACGAAAACGTAAGTATTATTTCCTTAGACCAGTAATTACAGATACTTTATTAAAAAAATTTATGTTTCCTGAGAACCATTAGGTTTGTACTTGAAATCAAGTTGTTTTTAGTACCTCGGTTTTGGGGCGCCAACATCTGTAGGTCAGGGAAGGAGAGCAGTGGCGCAGGAGGCGACACTGCATCAGTCTTCCCAGACGGCGGAGGAGGAGAATGCGGAGAAAGATTCAGCGCTGAAGCAGGTGCAGGCCAGGGATCTCATAGATTTTGGAATGATTCCGGTAAGTGTTTTATTTCGTCTTAAATTTTGGTTCAATGGAAAGTTTGTTACTTTTTCAAATGTTGCATAGAACTTTATTAATAAAAATTTTACTTTTAAACTTCAGAAAAATTTAGAGGAATATGTTTTATTTTTGTTTCTCAGGCGCAAATAGTTTATCTTTTTTCAATGAGCTAAATTACCAGTATCATATTTTTCCCTTTTTGTACTGTTTTCTTCATGTTTTTTTGATAAAAAAAAATGTTTTTGTCTGACAATCTGTTAGGAGAAACCTGAGAAAAAAATTATAGGGATTCCAAAAAAAAAATTGAGCAAATAATTATGATATCTTTAGATTTCTAGGAAGATTTAAACAATTTTCCATGCAAAAATGTAAGCTCTGTGTTAGATTCCATTTTTCAATTACAACCATTTTCCAATTTTTTTGTGCCTGTATCTCCTACTTAATATACGTGTTTAATTATTTAATGAAATATGATTATCTCGAAAATTATACCGTGGTCCCCGTCGGTTTGGCTATATTGTAATAGCATACGGATTGAGAAGTATTTAGTTTACGAAGATACAGAGTGTTCAAGCTGAAAGTCCTGAAAATATATTTTTTGAGGAAAATTAAAATGCCTAAAGACAACGGAATTAAAATGGCAAAAATGGAGGGTTTGGGTAAAATTTTGCTCCATCTTTCCAGATATAAAATTTTTTATCATATTTAAACAGCTAATAAAAAAATAATTTTTATGTAAAAAAAAATTAATTTTTTCCATGTTTCGACCTTCAATAAGTGAAAAAATATTATATCAAGAAAAAAATAAGCTTTTAGTGCCATCCAAACTAAACGTGTATGCAAAATTTCAGCTCAATCGGTTGGGCATACCTGTTTTAAAATTCAGTTGCAAGATTTGGCCCATACTAACAATGCAAGTTAAATAAAAGCTTTGTAAAAACAAGGCAAAATTTTACTTGGGCTCCATTTTGTCTTATAAAGGCAAAAAAATGAAATATTTATGTAAAAAAAAATATTTTAATTACATTAAATAGTGATCTTGGTCAAAATTGAAAATTGCTCTGGATACGAATTATTTTTGGCCTCTGGAATAAAGTTCTGATCATAAAAATCCCAGCTGATGGTTTGTCTGTTTTTTGGCCACTTTTACTCCTTTTTTTCAGACATAAAAATGCAATGTGGCTAGCGATCCCACCAATTTGCAAGCCCATGAACAAACTAACACCGCCCACACCATTAACCTTCCCCCGCGCAAACCGGTCAAAAACTGTCCCAAAGATAGGGGTTAAATTCAAATATAACCTATTCCACCAACCACATCTACCTCATCTCTCATTTTCAAGGGAGATAAAGCCCACGATCATATTGTCTCTCCATCCACACTCCAATATCGCTCCCTTTGAATGGCCAAGAACCAACCCGAATAGGCGTTACATGTGTCTGAGCTATTCCACTGACCAGTTCTCCTCCATCCCCGTTGCTGAGGATAACAGTAACAAAGGTCGAAAAACAGTCGTGTAGATTTTGGATAAGTAGATTTGGCCATTGATATACAGGGTGGACCAGCTTTTTCGTGACAAACTTTAAGGGTATGTTCTATGTCCAAAAATAACCGTAGTTTGCTATACAAACAATAGTCCAAAATTGCTTCGTTACGAAAATACAGGGTGTTGAAGTTTATTCTGAAAAACAGAAAAATACATTTTTTTTAAACCGCTTAAGATAATTAAATGAAATTTGACAGGTGTCAATAGCAATGGAAGACTTAAATTTTGCAATGCAAAAGTTTCTTTTACTGTCACCAGTGGCGCAAGTAGCGGATCATTAGTGACTATTTTCCAATAAAAAAATGGTACGTCCCTGATTTTTCTAAAAATTAATGTTACTTTGAATTCCTCGTTCAATTTGGTAGAAAAAAACTTTTGACTTTTTTTTGTACGATGCACCGTTTAATAAATAATAAATTACTTTAAAACTTTTCAAAGTGTTTTCCTTCAAATGGATTATTATTTGTTAGCTGCATACCAGATACACTTGCTGCAACCACCAGATAAACAAATTTACAACGACTAGTTGGCGTCGGTTTTCATGTCAACGTTTGACAAATCTTAAATAGTAGTAGTGCAGTAGTGTCAAAATGCCGTTTAGATTTTCAAACCAAGAAATAGCGGATATCCATTTTGTGTATGGATTTGCTAATGGAAACTCAAGGGCGGCTGCCAGAGAATACAGAAGGAGATATCCGCAGAGACCACATCCTAGTCGTAATGTGTTCACAAGAATTCACCAGCAATTAATGGATAATGGTTTAGGAAATTTACATGGAGATCGAAATAATGCCAATCCAAACCAACAGCAAAGAAGAATTTCTCGACTGATATTAAATGAGTTTGACAGAGATCCAACAACAAGTTCCCGTATAGTTTCTCGTATTATCCGCACATCTAAATCCAATGTACTTCGTACTCTCAGAAGGGATCACAGGCGTCCATTTCACCTATAACCTGTTCAAGGCTTACATCCAGGAGATGAAGAGAAAAGACTGACTTTTTGTCGGTGGGTCCTTCGCTCAATTCAAGAAAGCAGGGATTTTTGTGAACAACATACTGTGGACTGACGAATCCTGCTTTACCCGTCGCGGTATAGTTAATTTCCATAATCAACATGTGTGGTCACATGAAAATCCTCACGCCATTAGACCACGAAATTTTCAAGTTGAATTCAGCGTAATTGTTTGGATAGGGATTTACAACAACAATCTGTTTGGACCCTATTTTTTACCTCGACGCTTAAACGCAGAAAACTTCTTACAGTTTTTAGAAACGGAACATCACAATATGTGGGATGAAATACCGATAATTTTAAGACAGACTTCATTTTTTCAGCTCGACGGTTGTCCCGCTCATTTTGGCAGAAATGTTAGAAATTGGCTAAATAATAACTTTCCGAACAGATGGATTGGCAGAGGGGGTCCAGTTCCATGGCACCACGGTCTCCGGATATTACCGTGTTAGACTTCTTTGTGTGGGGTTTTTTAAAAGAGAAAGTTTATGCAACCCCCGTGAACACACAAGATGAACTTATTACTCGTATAAGAAATGGTTGTAATGCAATAATACCGCATCTAATTAGCATCTAATTAATTTAAATAGATGTATTGTACGTAGGTGCGAGTTGTGCATTGAAAATAATGGTTCCCATTTTGAACAATTTTTTGAACTGTTTTTGTTGATAATTTTAATTAGTTTAGTTTTTCGTATTCATTGTGAAAATAAAGTTGTTAATACACGGTGAAAATCTAAACGGCATTTTGATACTACTGCACAGAAGACAAGTTTATTTAAGATTTGTCAAACGTTGACATGAGAACCGACGCCAACTAGTCGTTGTAAATTTGTTTATCTGGTGGTTGCAGCAAGTGTATCTGGTATGCAGCTAACAAATAATAATCCATTCGAAGGAAAACACTTTGAAAAGTTTTAAAGTAATTTATTATTTATTAAACAGTGCATCGTACAAAAAAAAAGTCAAGAGAGTTCTTTTCTACCAAACTGAACGAGGAATTCTAAAATAACATTAATTTTAAGAAAAACCAGGGACGTACCATTTTTTTATTGGAAAATAGTCACTAACGATCCGCTACTCGCGCCACTGGTGACAGTAAAAGAAATTTTTACATTGCAAAATTTAAGTCTTCCATTGCTATTGACACCTGTCAAATTTCATGTAATTACCTAAAGCGGTAAAAAAAAAAATTATTTTTCTATTTTTCAGAATAAACTTCAACACCCTGTATTTTCGTAACGAAGCAATTTTGGACTATTGTTTGTATAGCAAACTACGGTTATTTTTGGACGTAGAACATACCCTTGGAATTTTGTCACGAAAAGCTGGTCCACCCTGTATAAAAAGCGTTTTCACCTGCTTTTAGGGTGATTTTAACGCATTTGAGTGGTTGGAGAGGATGGAGGTAAGGTGACATTCTATCATTCACAGAAATGGAGATGGAGAGGAACTGGCCGGTGGAACAGATCAGAGACCCGTGCGGGTAACCCCTTTTGTTGTTAGTATTTGGCCATTGGGAGGGGGGTGGGGGGTTATCTCTCTTGAAAATAGGTGATGAGGCGGGTGGAATAGGTTATACAGGGTTATTCAGTCATAATTTCATTAATTTTTAATCACGTATTTGGAAGACTTAATAGACAGAAAATCGGAAAAAAAATTTTTTTACTCGACTTTTAAAAATGAAGGAAATCAACCCATAACTCCCGCTAAGAAGGCGGCCCTGCCAGATGCCCGGATGCTCGGAAAATTTTGTAACGTAATGTCACGAACAAATCGTCAGCTGAAGCAAACAGTGTTGCCAAGTTCACATCATAATCTGTGTTTACATTTAATTAATCCGCTTTAGTATACGGATACATATGTATGAAACCAATAAAATGCAAGTAAATAAAGGATCATACTGCATTTTATTATAACTAATTTTACTAATTTAGTGCAAAATGTTTTAACAAGTCTGACTTCTCGAAGTCAACTTTCGTTAAAAGAAAATAAATAAAGCAGATGTTTGTAGGCACCCTGTATTTTATCAAATAAAAAAAGTCGGCACATTAAATACCCGAATATACAAAATACACTACACACGGTTACAAAACCATTACCTAACAATTTAAAGCGTTTATTCAAATCTACCACCCTCCATATCTCCCGCATTTTTCCCGCAAAGGAGTTAACATAACACATTTTCAAAAAGTTCAAGCTTTAGAAGCAGCTGATTTCCCCAATCGTTTTGAATTTTGCAATTGGTTCCTAAGTGCAGTAGAACTTTATTAACAAAGTGCTCTGGACGGATGAATGCTGTTTTACTCGTGCTGGCATTTTAAACAGGTAAAAAACATAAGTATTACTTTCTCAAAAACAATAAGTGCCTACCTAGGTTACACCAAAGTTTAGATTTACACTAAAGTTTACATTTATTATGTAAACTTTGGTTATACGCAACTGCATATTGAATAATAAACTGAAATACTAAAACTGTGTATTATTTAACATAATAAATTATAAAACGTGAAAACGTTAATAATATTAAAAATGATAAATTAATAACCGTACATTCGAAAACAATCATCCCTATTCATTGATGACACGATTTTTCTTTGATAAAAGACCGACAACTTTTTGCTCTACTTTGCATGGAATACGATCCTACTAAAGTGCACACGTGCACACAGGTTAACCTAGGTCGGAAATACGTAGATACCGAGTTGTTTATTTGTCTCCGTCCGATTGTATTTTTATCTTCTATTACTTACAGTCAATATTTAAATACTACATACATTTCACCCTCTCTCTATAATTTATCTAGTGAGTGTTGGTTTTTTATGTCAGTATTTCTGTAATGAAATGAAATTTAAATTATTTGAACTCTTGGGGTTTTGTAATTTCAATATTAAATTTTATTTAAAGTGAAACAGAGCTAATTTCTTTGCAGCCATAATAGTCACATTTGGTCAGATGAAAACCCGCACACTACTCGTCGGTTTAGCTTTCAGAGGAGGTTGGGTGTCAATGTATGGACAGGAGTATATGGCGATCGTTTAATTGGGCCGCATTTTCTACCTGTACATCTGAATGGGCTACGTACTTTCAATTTTTAGTAGAAGGCTTACAGCAAATTAAAAAATGATCACTATGATGTTAATTTAAAAAAAATTTCGGCAAGTCATGCGCGAGGTTCTTGCTGGGCAACACTAACAATTTAATATGTGGATTGCATAATTATAAAAAATAATTTATAGCATTTTAAATTATTATTGGCTGATGTGAGCAAACCGTTTATTTATTGTCTTTATATGTGTGAAAATATATAAATATGGCAACAGTGCATCTAGGCCGCTTTGTTCATATCGTAGCCGGCTGACGTCAGCCGGTCAGTAACAGCCTGAAAAGGGGGTTAAATAATGATTTGAAAATATTTTTTTTTCTGCTTAAATATGCATTTAATTTTTTTTTAATCACGCCATCGTATTATACTCATTTTTCTCTATCTGCTCTTAAAATTAATGACATTATGACTGAATCACCCTGTATATGTGCGATTAACCCCTCTTCTGGGCAGTTTTGAGTAGGGGTAGGTTAAGGGTGGAGGGCCTGACATGTTGATGGGCTTTACCTTCCTTGCAAATTAGTGCCATTGTCAATCGCATTGCGTTTTTATTTCATCTACACAAGTATCTGAAATTGAGTAAAAGAGGCCAAAAAAACAAGCAAACAAACCATCTACCGGGGTATGATCGGAACTTTATTCCAGAGGATTTTTAATGTAATTAGTGTGCGGTTCTTTTTATTTGTTTATTTTATGTATTTTGGATATATTCTACAAATTAGTTTTTGGGAATTGTAACTTGAAATCTTCTATTAGTAAGTAAGGTTTAGTTTATGCAATTCGGGGCATCCTGAATATAATTAAAACACAAATAGATACATTAGCAGAATAGTTTAGTACCTCCACTGGTAAAAAATAACCTATTACAAGTGGAATTTTTAGAGAATCCAGGATAATTTGAGAAATTCCCCGATATTTCCAGACGTATGAAATCCCTGATATGGTTTCAGGTTTTCTCGGTGTCCAGACAATATACAATTTATTAATATAAACAAATTCATAAATATTTTTAAAAAATGTGTATGCATTACAATTTTCTTACAGGAATTCGTAGGTAGGTTTCCAGTTCTAGTGCCCTTCCACTCGCTTAACGAAAGCATGCTAGTTAGGATCCTGACGGAACCGAAGAACGCCCTGGTTCCGCAGTACCAACGGCTGCTAGCCATGGACCAGTGCAACCTTACTTTCACGTCCGATTCGCTAAAAGCCATCTCACACCTGGCGATGGAAAGAAAGACGGGCGCGAGAGGTCTCAGGGCTATAATGGTGGGTGAATCCGTATTTTCAAATTTTGTTATCTCTCACTATGCCGATTTTCTAGGAATCTCTTCTGCTGGAACCAATGTTTGAAGTACCGGGCGCAAACATCACCGAGGTTCACGTAACGGAAGAATACGTAATGGGAAAGAGCGCGCCCGAGTACATTAAGAATTCTGACTCCGTGACAGGTACTGAACCCTCGGACGAAGACGAATTGAACACTTCGATTAGGGTGAAACAATGAGATTAGCGGTACAACAATTAAACGAAACCGAACAATAATAAGCGCAGTCAGTCGGCTGATCCACTCAGATTTATTCCCTCGACAGATAATGTAATTTTTTAAGGAAAACAATAACAAAAAAAAAAAACGTTGTTAAAGACCGTGTGCAAATATAGATAGTTTTAATCTAAATGTGAAGTTTTTGGTACAGGGTGTTTCAAAAAATGTCCGCACCTTCAGATTCCAGTCGCCATTTTAGATGTTTTTTGTTGGTTTCGGACTTGGAGACTGAGGTAGGTTGACTGTGATTAAAATGTTAAAAATTTCATATTTGAACGTTGTTTAATCTTATTTTTATTGTATATATATTTTATAATCCCATGCGTTATTTAAAAATAGAGACATGGGGAAGCGATTTGTTATCTTTGAGTTTTTCAGTTGCCGGTGGTAGATTGCTTTATTAAACAAATTTTTTGGTCCACCTTGTACATTATGTAAAAAGCGAGTTTTATTTTATATTTCAATTCCTCCGAATCACCTCTTTTTGCTGGGAGGGTCGTTCGTTGTGTAAATATTATAAAACGAATCAATTCGTTCATGTTATATTTATTGATAGTAAAATGTTTCTCAAAAAATAATTGTAGTTTGATGATCGCAAGTTGTCGGAAGAAATTTGGTGTATTGTAAGGAGAGAATTAAATATAAATACACCAATGAAAGTTTTATATTTTTTTTTACTGTACTACCCAACCGTTTTCTATTATTCTGATCAGTTTTATTCTTTTTGTTAATTTGGAATACTAGATTAAATTTATGTGTAAAAATCGTATGATATACAGGGTGATTCAGTCATAATGTCATTAATTTTAATACGTGACTAAAAACAATTTTAAAATGTCTATGCTGAAAAAAGATATTTTCAAAGATTTATCGAGTGAATCTTGACCTACCGTATTATTTGGTTACTAACCTAGCTTTTACTGCATTTTTAATCCATAGTGAAGGATAAGGAAAAAACAGATCTTTTTCCTAGACATTTAATACATTTTATGTATTAACAAGTATTATTTATTTGCTGATAAAAACAAGTGTATAAGGTATAAGGATAATAACACCGGCACACTAAATAAAAAAAGTGGCCTGTACCTTTGATTTGACCCACAGGCTTTATGTGTTTGACGTGCTGAATCCGAATTTGAAGTCTGTTTAGTTCAAACATCCCAAAAATTTTGAGTAATTGGCAAAAAATAGTGCGCTCTGTAGTTCGCCAACGCGTTCCCTGTCATAAAACGTGTTGCGAAGTAGAGCACCGAATTAACAGGTGTTAAGGAGTATTTGCTTATTTTTTAAAAGGTCAAGAAAACTATTTTTTTCAATTTTCTGTCATTAAAATTAATGACATTTGACATTTTCACTTAATCACCCTGTATATTACGAGAGTTTCCCTTCTTTTCAGCCCAAAGAAGTGTTTTCTTTAATTAAGTAAAGACAGACATTGCAGTACAAAGAAATCTATGTAAATAGCGAAACTTGCTACAATAAATTTTGTGTCCCTTTTGGCCTGAGATTTATTTTGCATTATTGATCATTTTTAAGCAGAGATTGAGAAAAAGTCAGTTAGGAACAACCAAAATGTGAACGTTTTCGCTAAAAACAAAGATTTATGAAACACATTTGTAATAAACAAGGGTAAGAAGGAACTGTTCTTACTAGAACGCTAAAATGAGAACGGAAATAGAACAACGTTCATGCTGAGAATGACGTCAAGAACAAGGTATTTTTCTAAAATTTCTTATTTTTCAATATACTGTGCCATTAAGCGTACATAAAGAGGTATGTTATTTATTTACACGAAATCTCTTCTACACATGGGAATTACAGCAACTGAGCCCAATCTCTTTTAAGGGGTGAAACCATATTAGGAGGCTGATTTTCAGGCATTTCACATGAATTTCTTTGAGTGGGACAAATGGATAGAATTTGATCAAACTGACATTATTTTATTAATATTTTGAACTACATTTACAAATTACACCGAAGGTCGTCGTCCCGAGTTGGTTGTTCACAGGAAATGTGGAGGTTGCAAAAAGCAAAATGGTTATTTCCCGTATTATTAATATATTTTTTAAGAATATCAACTTAATTGCGAGTAAAAATTGTGGAAATTGAAGTTTTGTCACGTGCCTGAAAAAAAATTTATCGATTTTCACAATTTTTTTTTTTATCATTTCACTGCCAATTGTTAGAGCGTAAGACGGTCCTGGTATACACATCTTGCACTGTAGTAAATATACAGTCCACTTCATTGAAGAAAGTTTGTTTTAATTAAAGTGAATCAAGTTTTAATCCTATCATAGTTGGCAGTACAGTAATGCGAAACTGTACACCAATTACTGGTTCATGTTCCTTGTAATTTCATAAAGAATCACACTTTCAATTTTCATAACAATCGATTCATAACTTTCTGAGCTAGAGTGCCTGTGAATCAAAAAAATATAATTTTGAGAAAAGTGCGTTTGAAGATTTCCGAAAACTAGAAATTTGAGAAAGATATCAATAGAGTACTTTCCGATCAATCAGCGATTCCAGCACCATATAACAGTCCTTCTTCCTCATACGCATCTTCTGAGCTTGCATCTGTTATTTTGTTGCTTAATAAGTGACGAGACTGCCTGAACAAGTGCTCCGGTCTGTCTGTTGTGTGCCCGAACACTGACCTGATGGGCATCCGATTTTAGGTTCATAAAATCGGAACGTATAGGAATTTATGCAATAAACAAAAAAGGCAACCAACATTAGAGGGCTGGTACTGGTAATGAAAAATCCCTAAATCTTGGTATCACCAATATTAATGACTCGTTTACAATGAACAATGACAAACCGCTACATCTACGGTCAACATAGTGTAATCGCTGATTGGCTGCATAGAATCTCTTGAAAAATTACACCAATCGCAGTCGATGAAACAGAATGTTGTATTCTAATGTAATCTTGACCTTATCGTCTTAACAATTTTTTATTTTACTGAAGGTAATAAAATTACTGTTCCAAACAAAGTTATTGATCACTTGTCTGGTAATCATTTATGGAGACTGTAGAACAATACAGGTGAAATCGGATATTGTACTGTTAAATTCGATATCAAGATTTTGCGGTAACATCCACCAATTGCTCAGTTGGAATGCACGATTTCTTTCAGAAAAATTTGCAGACCACGTGCAATATGAATATTGCAATAAACTTGACAAATGGACATAGAACATACAGTGTGGAACAGCCAAATGGAATAAATTCAGTATATTTTTAAAAAATCCCGAGATACGTCGATTTTGCCACTGAATTTATTCCATTTAGCTGTTCCACACTGTATATTTTTTAAGTAAAGAGAAGGCGAGTTATTGTGATTTTCGGTAAAAATAAAAAATCACTGAAATGCATACAATGAATCAATTGTTTTTCTTCCTATAGAGAAAATAAAATAATTTCAGATATACACTGAGTATAATAAAGATTTCTATTTTGCTATTCCATTGGGAAATGTAATTATTGTAGGATAGACCTTATTAAATTTATTTTAATTCCATGGATCGTGTAAGTAAATATATTTGAGATATTTTTTAGTTATAATAAAATTGGCTTTATTAATGATTCAGTTATTTCAACATTGTTCAATGTTTCTCCTGAGAGGAGCAAATGTGTATATGAAAAAAATCAATAAACGTTGAAATGTTTAGTTTTTATACATTTCCATATTAAGTATTTATTGGAACTGAATTCATTGCAGTAAATTTTAGTGTATCTCTTGAGAGGAAAGTTTATGTTTCCATGCTAAAAAAATTAACTAGTCATTGTTAAATTCTACTTATCTGCAAGTAAATCACTTTATCATTCACCTTGCAGTATTAGCTTTCCAGTTAAAATTGTTCATTAAATAATCTTAAAATGTAGACCTACTCCTCTTTGCAAGATTTGAAAATCATTTATTGTACTATACAGGGTGTTTCCTAAGTAGCATCTGTAACTTCAGGACACAATTTCTTATATTTGAAGAAAAGAAGTTCATATAAACATATGGCCGGAAATGCTTAGATTTCAAGAAATAGGATGTTGAAAATTTTAAAAAATATATTAATATTTGAAGTAAATTTGGAACCGTCAATGTTAGATTCTTCAAATTTGGCGGTTATTGTACGTTGGTAAAGAGCTGCATTTTTATCTGCCGCCAGTGGTGTAGTTAGGTTGTCAATGTTTTGGTCATAAAATGTAAAACGCCAATGGATTGTTTAAAATTTTCATTATTTTCGGACTCGCCTAACATTTTACAACAAAAAAGGTGTCTTGAATTTTTTGCCTATTTGTAGAAAAATGGCTGGCAACTACAAACAATAAATAATAAATAAATGTTGAAAATAGCCATCTTCTGATAAAATACATGATTTCAAATCGTTCCATCGATTGTCTTACTCATTCAAAAATTCCTGGAGAATTTTGTACATCACAATTTTCAATTATTCGATTTCGTAACTCGTTTTTATCTAGTAGACGTGTCTTATACACAAGAGACTCAAGGTGACTCCATACATAAAGGTCACAAGGATTCATATAGGGACTGTGAGTTGGCTAAGTTTGTGGACCTGTGCGTCCAATCCAGCGATTAGGAAAGGTGTTATCGAGGTACTGACGAGCAACGTGGCTCAAATGAGCTGGGGCAGTCATGCATAAACTAGAAATTAGTTCTTATGTGTAGAGTAGGTACATCTTCTAATAAAACGTTTAGCTCTTCGGCCAGAAACTGCCTATACCAGACATCAGTTAATCTATCTGGCAAAAGGTATGGTCCACTAAGATAGTCATGAATAATCCCTATCCATACATTGAGCGAAAATGACCATATCTTATTGCATGCAAATTTTCGTCTGTCCAATAATGTTTATTATGAAAATTTGCCTCGTCAGTAAGTAAAATTCGTCAAAAAATTGTTATGTGCCACTGTATGGACTAACCACCGACTAAAATCACCTTGGCTGAAGATCACGGGGCAGCAGATCTTGTAAACGTTGCATGTGAATGAGAATAGTTGACAAACTTCAAAACTTTCCAAACAGTCTTTGGACTTACATGAAGCTGCAATGCTATCATTTTGGTACTGGTTGAAACATGTTCTATTTCTGGAAATAACATTCTTCTAAATCTGGGGTTGTTACTGTTGAAGATCTGCCTGAAACCAGTTTCACTCAATCTGAGATGTAGCTTTCTGAATGTTTTTGCACATGGTGTTACTCTGTTAAGATAACGTTCCTGATAAATTTGCCGCTCTTTATCCCTATTCCCATTTGCTAAGCCATAGATAAAATACATCCGAGTCATTTCAGCGTTAGTAAAGTTATTATCTCATATTTTTGTTGCTGCTGAATTAAATAGTGGTATATTTTTATATTAGGATTAAACGTGTTACTTTTGTGGCAAGCAAATTTTGTATTTGCAAGGGGAAGCGTAGCGTATCCGAACGGATGTAAAATTGTGACAAGAGAGACACTTTTAATTTAATTTTTTTCTTCAACAGAAATCCCCCATTTAATTATTAATTTGTGCTTTGAAATTTTTCAAATGAATAGTAAATCAAAGTAAGTAGGATATATCGTAGTCATGGATACTTTGTCAAACATTAGTCACCAATTAGCAAATTGAGTTCATTTGTGATTGTGGTTCAATTTGCTGAAAACTGTAAAACTGGAATCTAATGAAGATTTAGGTGTATCTGAGGAGATGCTGGTGTGTGTGTGTGTATCTTTGAATCCTCTCCCAAAGAAATCTCAAGAAATTTATACATGTGTCTACCAACGTTTTATGGAATGGTGCAAAGAAAAAAACATTAAGTTGTATTCAAAAGATGTATTGATGGTGTATTTCTCAAACTTAGTAAATAAAACGAAGCCGTCAATGCTTTGGTCACAATATTCAATGTTGTGGTCAATGTTAGGTATAAAGAAGGGGATTGATATAAGCAAATATTCAAAGTTATGTGTTCTTCTCAAGAGATAAAATGAGGGATATGAACTAAAAACATCGCGAGTATTTACAAAGGAGCAAGTTGATTTATAAATTTTTAAAAAGCTTTATAGGTCGTCCTAATATTGGGTGTTGCAGACACATGCCGTTTCGATGTATTGTCAATTTAACATTGATAATGTTGAAGATGTGAAATCCACCTTAATTACAAAAATTTCCAAAACCAAATAATCCAAGAGATCACGTTCTGTGCTGGAAGACAATTATTAAGTTTTTGACGAAAATATGTTGTTTTACATCCACTCGGATTGGTAGAATGTCGTTTACTTCTCAGATATGTTAGTGGAAAGTGTCATCGAATGGTGGTCGGTACATATTCATAAAATTAGTGCCATCTCGCAAGAAGTAGCAATATTTTTGAAGCTGGATAACTGGAAAGAGTACAGTGGACGGCGGTGGCGACCTCACTTGTCTTAAAAGACACGGAGGATGGAGAGATCGAGCACTGTGGTGGAAGGCTACATTGAAGACTCACTTTTGAATAAAGAAAATTTTGCGAAAAGAATATTGAAAGTTGATAGTGGTAATGATAAACCGAGCATTGTTGTAATTTCTGATTTCACAATATCTGAAAATAATATAACTATTAATGAAAACGTGTTGGACTACTTTGATATTTGCCCCAAGAATGAGGGTAGTGCACATAACACATAAAATATAATGGAATCTCTATGGTTTGTCTTGAAGGTATTTTTGTTATGCAGCCTAAAATACACTAAATCTTAGTTAGGTACATATCCATCGTAGGACGCTAGTGTTGAAATTTCTGAAAAGTCCCCGCGGTATGATTAGTTGCCTAATAATAACATGTCAGTATGTCTACCCGATCCTGCTATGACCGCCATGATTTTCTTTGAGGTTAAGTTTTCGTTTGCAGTGGTACGTATTTTCGTGGTTATATATATTTTTGTTAATTTAAAAATTTTTTTTTGTTATATGTATTTTAAACTAATATATTTTTTATATTAATTTTCTTTTTTTTTTGTTACTACAAATCTTATAAATAGTGAAATCTTGCAATACACATATGACGATTACATTTTGTACTTAACAAAATTGATAAATAAACTGGTATTCTTGCATATTATACATTACTATTTATTTGGTGTTACAAGATGAGGTCCATCAATAATTTTACCAAAAGGTTCATAACATACATTCGTAAATACGGAATGGAAATTTATGGGCTCAGATTTTTAAAGAAGCTTGAAACTCAAGTTAATGTATTATTTTGTTCAGTAGCAAACTATTTTCAATGTATAATTTTATGTGTATAAGTTCTATATTATTTTTTTTTTATTTTTTCAATTCAAATAAGAATCTCTCTTTCAGATTAGAAAAACCGTAAATATTCAAAGCTAATGGTGGGAAATGCAGTGGTAAAACACTTTCGAGATGAAATTTGAAATTCTGTAACTATTGAAATATTCATAACTTTTAGGCCCAGTTTTTAATTGTTGGTTATCGCCATATGAGTAACTAAATAATGATTATCGCTAACTAGCAGTTACTTTATTTTCTTCTATTGAAATTAAGAACAATTTCCTCCAAAATTGAAGGTTAACTTAATCAAAAATGTATTTGTAAATTAGCTTTTAATTGTATATTACTATCAAGAAATCTTCATTTAAAAGTGTTCAAGTATGTGTGATTGAAAAACCGGGCCTTATTAAAGTTATGCGACATATAGGATTATATTAGTTATAGTAATTTAAAATTTCTCTTTTATTTTATTTCTGCATTTTTCATCGTTAGTTTTGTATATTTATGGTTTTTCTAATCTCGTAAAATCAATAATTTTACCACAGAAATATATTGTCTTCTATGTGTATTAGATGGCGCTAAACCGAATAATGAAGTGACCTATAAATTGGATAAAAAGTTAGGTACATATCCGTTGGATGGCGCTGTACGATAAATAAATTCTCCAACAAAACTTCACTACTGCAGTTTCCATTATATTTTAAGTTTTATGTGGGGTAGTGGCAGTTTCAGTGGTTTATTTAATTTTAAGACTTGTTCAAACTGTGTATTTAATATCAATGTGGATAAACAAAAATTATTTTAAAAATTGTTGAATAAACTTTTATAAATTAAAACTTAACACTTTTAATCTAAAAATTAAAAGTGTAAACCTTAGCTCCTAGGATTAAAAGTAAATACTTTTGTTGCTAAGATACCTTTTTTTCCTCAGTAAGGAAAATGTCAACCTTAGAGACAGTCAAAAATGTCATAGTTTTGTGATGGTTGGAGAAAAATAAGTTTTTTTGTCTACAAGTAGATTAGTATTAGGTAAAAAATTTAAGACACCTTTTTTGTTGTAAAATGTTAGGCGAGTCCGAAAATAATAAAAAATTTAAAAAATCCATTGGCGTTCTACATTTTATGATGAAAAGTCGACTGACTCACGGCTAACTACGCCACTGGTGGCAGATAAAAATTGACTTTATACAAAAAATGTAGATCTTTACCAAAATACAATAATTGCCAAATTTTAAAACTCGAACATTGACTGTTCCAAATTTATTTCAAACATTAAAATATTTAAAATTTTCAACACCCTGTATTTCGGAATCTAAGCAGAAATTTTTTCTTTAAATACCATAAGAAATTGTGCCCTGAAGTTATGGACCGTACTTAGGAAACACCCTGTATAATTTGAACACTATTTTATGATAGCGGACTCTTTGTAATGATTGAAACAATTGAAATTATCAAATTTTTACTAATATATAACATACGATTCGTATACAAACAAATATACAGAAAACATCAAAATATAATCTAAAATACATCTCGTTGAGATCTACATACAATAATTAATAATACAAATAACAGATGTCATGACTTTATTAAATAACTAAACCTAAAAATTAAAAATATATCAGATATAATTTTTTTTATTTTTTTTTTTGGTTCTTGTTTCTTGTGCCCTTCTGCAGTAAAGTGAGAGAAATATTGAATATGCGCTAACTTTAATATTTACGCTAGGTGTAAAACAGTGTGTTTTAAGTAGCCACAAAAAATATTTCAGGGCTGGTGATTTTCGCTTTGCAATGCCCACATGCTGCCCTCTAAGAGGAATCGCCAAAAACACCCTGAATTTTGTAATTAAAAAACCTTAAAAACCATTTGACTCGACTTAAAATTAGGACTAGTAAATACTTATTAAGAGGTTACGATACAGGGTGCACCAAAAAGAAAATATTTATTATTCGCCAAGATATTTTGCCAGTATTATACAGGGTGCTATGGAAATGCAGTAAGTAATAAATCGAGAGAGATCAATAGCACTTTTGAGTAAAAGTGCTTTAAAAGCACCAATTCGAAAGTCAAATCAATTTTAAGCCGTATGAAGTGTTGAAACAACCGAGTCTTACAACTTTACACTAATTTCCGTCATAAACTAAATAACATTAAATCGTAATGCTTTCCAGCACCCTGTACCATTTAATTTCCACATTTTTATGTATTTGGAAACAAAACTTTGATATCTTAATTTTCTTTCCTTCTTTTTGGCTTATACTGTATATTTATATAGAAAAGGTGAGATTTATTGTCAAATTATTATTATTTTAAATTATATTGATATCATACGAAATGATATGCCTAGGAAAATTATTTTACATATAATAATTGATAATATATATAAAATATTTAAGCAAAAAGCGATAACAAGACTACAAAAGCGTAGAGCGGCTTCTGTATTATGCAGCTGTGAATTTACGTTACGATGACCAAATTTACAATCAATTACGTGAAAATAATCACAATTGTCAGTTATTAATGACAATTGTTCTTTGTGTCAGCTGTCAATTACAACTGACAATTGGTATTGCTGTCAAGTGTCAAATACAGTTGACAGTTTTTGTCAGCTGTCAATTACAATTGGCAATTGCTATTACAATTGTCAGTTGCCAATAAAGTTGAGTTAGGATAAGCAATTTACAACTGTCAATTGTAAGCTTAGTCGTAATTCAGTTAAAGACGAAGCAAAAAATAACGTGGCCGTTCTATGCTTTGGTACGAGACAGTGGGTAAGCTGTATAAAATATAAGTATATATCACTTTTTTGTACATTAATGACTTAGGGCTTCTTTAATCTATGTTCCAAAATAGAGACTAAAGACTTTTTTCCAGTGCAAAAATATGCTATATTCTAGATTTTCATGCAGTACAATATAAATAAAGATATGTAGTATTGTTATATGTACAACGAGTTACCACGACGCCATTCTTCAATATCAAATTTTATTTGGGAAATTTTGAGCACAGCTACAAAATTATGATATTGCTATTTTTCTTCAGTAAATTTGTTAATATATTGGAAATCCAGGTAGAATCAATAACACCGATAAAATATCATATTGTCAATATCAACAAATATCGAGTAAAAAAAAATGTATATTTCATTCCCCGCTGATATACTTCTACCATCAATTCTAGTTGTACGAAAAAGGCCATCTGCCAAGTAGGAACGATATACATTTTTCCATGAACAAAATAAATCACCCAATCAACATGAAAACTAAATCACACATAAAAAAAATCACAAAAAGCAGGACTAAAGATCCCCATTGTCAATGGCCTTATTCAGGTCGCCCACGACTCTCCCTAGGACCTCTCTGTACTCCGAGTCCCTTTTAAAAATGGCATCCAAAAAGTGTTCGTTTGTAAAGAAGGAGAACACACTCTCGATTCTCGACAAGGACTTGTCAGTCAGGTGTTTAGAAACGATGATTTCAAGGCACTTTTGGCTTTCGTTCAGAGCGTTAACTATGTAGTTTCGGTCGTAGCTGAAGTCCACCTCGTAGAAGGATATAATGGCCATGCCGGCCATCCGAAACTTGGATTTGAACTTCTCGGCTTGTTTTATCTCGTCCTCGGAAAGCATGTTGTTCCTGTGCAGGACTCCCAGCTTTATTACGACTTTTATTATGTTCTTGATAAGTTTCTCCGCTTCTTTCTTGTTGTTCGACTGAAACAAAATACGTACAGTTTAATATAAAAAAAAATTGTCCTAGATATACAATGGTCAGGGTTTTAATCAGGAAAAATTAGGGATGATAGAAGTGATTTTAAGAAAAAAAAAAAAAAAATGGGGCTGAAAACTTTTTTTAAGAAAACAAATAAAATTGAAATATTTTTTGTTAAGTACAAACCAGAAATGCATATTTGGAAACTAACTTTTAAAAAATTGTGATATGATTTTTTTCAATGCAATTTTTTTTTCAAAATATGTAGTGAAATCTATTTTTGTATCCAAAATCTGCTAACACGCTATATTTGTACCTACTCACTGGTTTGGCTTATTGCAATTTTTTTATAGTTAAAGATTGCAACAAAAAGTGTAAATTGTGAAAGAATGCAAATTGCTTTGTTTGTCATTATTAATTTAAAAAATAAAAATAAAATAATTGAAATAAATAAAAATACATCAGGAAAATGAATATATATTTGTAGAAAGAATAAGTATTTTTAGGGATGCAGAATAACGTTATATTAATATTCCAATTCAAAAATTACAAATATAATTTTTCAAAAATAGTTAAATTTCATTTTTTGCCTCGTTTAGTACTGTAAAAACAATTTTTTTCTTTTAAAAAAGTTATAAGGAGTTCCAGATTTTTTACTTAATTTTTTTTTCTTTAAAAAAATCGAAATATTTTAAAGGTGTTACACCTGTGTAATTATATTTAAATATTAAGAAAGTAATGGGTACGAAAATGTTACATTTTCTTTAATAATTTTCTAACAGAGTTCTCTAAAAATTTTTCATTAGGAATTTTGTGACTGGTATATCTATTTCTATTTTATATTTTGGGTGGCTGCACATTACTTAGATGTTAAATAGGAAGGTAGGTAAAATGTAAATTCAAAGATTTTAAAAATATTTTGGTGGAACTGTCACATTTCATCTGACATTTGTAAGAGTAATACAAAAATCTATTTAAACTAAATATTGCCAGTACAAATACCCAACAAAGCGCGGCCGAGTAGGTATATACCGGGTGTCTCAATCTCAATTCACGCAAGATTTGAATTTTGCGCCATTTGTGCGGTAAAGTGATGCCAACAAAAAGAAAGACAGCGTGACAGCTGACAGTTCACGGTTATTAAAAATGCAGCGCTACACAAAAGAACAATCCGTTTTCATTATTGAACAATATTTTCAAAATAATTAAGGCTTGGCAGCTAAGGTTCGCAATTTTCGTACAAAATATGGTCGGAATGGTTTAACTTCATCAATTAGTGATCTTAAATAATCTGGCCGTCCTTCAACAAGTCGTTCAACACAAAACATCGAACCAGTTCCTGAGAGTGTTGCTGAGAATCCAGGAACATCAATTCAGCACCGTGGTGAAGAATTTTAGCTCTCACTACAGCGCATTCCACGAAAGATTTGCATTTTCATACTTACAAAGTTCAATTGACTCAAGAACTGAAGGCTACTGACCACGCCGATTGAAAAGTGTTCGTTGAATGGATGCTGACTTTTCGGACAAAATCATCTTCAGCGATGAGACTCATTTTCATCTTGATAACTTCGTTAATCGACAACATCCACGACTGATTGTTGAGAAACAAATGCACCACAACATGTCACTGTTTGGTGGGAATTTTGGGCTGGAGGCAACATCGATATCGAACCATACTTCTTCGAAATTGCGGCCAGTTAGATAATAACAATTCATGGTAGTCTTTCCCATATCAATTGAAGAACTAAGTCGTTGACGGTATGTACCAGATTCGGTCGCTGACGCAGCAACTCGGCATTGAAATATTTTAAAAACTTGTTCCCATATTTATTTAACTATACCCATATACAAATCTGGTCGAACTACACGTGGAGGTGGTAGAAATGTATACGCCCAGTTGAAGAATGCGAGCGTGGGCAAACGAAATCTGACACAATTGTATTGGGCTACTGGGCAAAAAATCTCAGCTTTTGACAAGTGGTTGACAAATTGCCCGGCAGTGCAGTGCAGCAATGCGGAATGTGATTCAGGTAATTTTAATTTTTTATAGGCACCTTCTATTAGTAATTTATATTACAATTGCGAAAGGGAGAAATAATATTATTACAACATGGCATTTTGAAGCCCTTTTGAAACGGAACAAAACGAAATTTACCATCAATATAATAAAACTGTTTGAGGACATAAATAATTTAAATATGTTGTTGGTCAAATGAATATATAATATATAATAGCAGAAAACTTTGTTAGGGACGCCTATGAAACTTATTAAATTTGAATGCTCGGTTTTTTAATACATGTTCAACTGACTTCGGAAATACTTATACTCACGACCTGATAATCTGTTTTTTTATGCCTAAATTGCAAGATATTGATGTAGACAACATGTGATTTCAACAAGACGGTGCCACATGTCATACAGTGCGAGAAACAATTAAATTACTGCGCGAGTCATTTACTGGTCGTGGAATATCCCGTTTCGGAAATCAGAAGTGGCCACCCAGATCACGCGACTTAACGCCGTTGGATTTTTTTTTTGGGATTTATTGGAGACTTAATAATGCCAACAAGTCCACGACCAACCACGCCTTGAAGGGGGAAGTTGAGCGCTGTATCAACGAAATTACTGTATACTTCATGAATTAATAAAAAGTTTACAATTTTTAAATAAAAATCTGTTTTCTATCAAAGTTACTTCTTGCGTAGAGAACAGTATAGAACAATCTCTAAGCTTCTAAGAACATACAGAAAGGAATAGAGAACAAATTCTACAAACGTGAAATAAATAAGTAAGCAAATGTATAAACAAAGCACACTATTAAACTGATAATATGGCCTTTGAAACACTAAAACACTGGCCTTTTTTAATGCTCTGGCTCAGGTTTTTAGGTACTAAAGTGACGACTTATTAGTGAGTAATATTGAGAGACTAAAAAATTAAATTTTGTTCCATCTTCCACATGTGAGATATTTACAGTTATTTATGACCAGGACTATAAATTTTGGGCTTTATTTTTTATGTAGTTATTATTCTTTAATAGAAAACAGTGTAATTAAATTTAGTTTTTCTAATCTAATTGAGTAATAAAGTTTGAAATCATTAATATAGAAAAAACGGTAATTTTAAATAACACACGTTATTAAAGATATACACTGTCAAAACTTTAATGATCCCCCTACACGTCCCCAAAAAAAGTAGTAGGATTTTTTAGTTGGAACAATTTCAAATACAATGTAGTTATGAAAAGTAGAGAAAAACTATTTGTGTAGCAATTTTTTATTTTCTGATAGTAATACTTAAAAATATATATATATATATATAATTGCTACACCAACGGTTTTTTGACTTTGTGTAAAATGATAAATAATGGTACTTCTCTCTTGAGTATTTTCGTTTTTTTTTTAATTTATGAGCACCCTGTATATCTAATCTAAGATATTTGTATGACAGTCTCATTTTTTCGAGAGGAAGAACTTTTTATAAATTTTTCGATCAAAACTAAAAGAAAAAAAACTACTTACAGAGTGTCAACTTCATCCGTAGACACACTGTAAGTATGTTTATGGGGAATTTTTTTCTTATTCTGAGGAGTTTTATGTAATTCGGGAAATCCCATATATTTTCACTCTATTGTAATATAATTACCACAATTCACAAACTTCATATATCAGTTAGGTGTTAGGTGTCATTAAGCGAATATTATTGGGAATAATTAATAAATACTTACATATTGTTTAGCAAGACGGTATAAGTTATCAAGTAAGGAGGCCGTAGTATCATCGATGAAAGCTCTGGCGATGTTCTTGCCCGCCATTCGGGACAAGATCTTCTTCTGGGCTCTGAGCCCGATGTCTCTGGCTTTAAAAGCGCTCTCGGTCATAACTGCAACAAAATGGGCCGGATGAAGACGCAGATATCCACTTTGACGTGGTAGGTACAGAACTGAATAAACTATATACGGCGTACAGGGTAAATCATAAGAAAAACTACTCATTGTACACATTGATAAGATATAAGATGGTTAATGATATTTGTAGAAACGTCAATATTTACAGTTATTATAATACAAAGTCCCTTGTTTACAATGCTAGTAATTGAATTTAAAGAAGTAACACATATTTAGATCTAGTCTTTAATGAAACAAAACCGTATGGTGGTTCGGAAATGGCACAACGTATACTATGCTCAGTGGCGGAACTTCAAAATTTGGCCCCTCCATAAAATTCAACTCGGACCCCTTCCCCAACATCCCTCCAAATAAATCGAGATTTTTTTTTTATTACAAACGCTACTAGTTTTTCCCAATTTCGATTTCTTAATATTGTACTTAATATCATCACATTTCTAGATAAAATCATTGTCGTAGCATTTTCATTTCTAATAACACTTAGGTTTTAAAAGAACAATTCTAGAGTTATTTAAATTCAATTAAAATGCTTGGTAATATAAATAAATAAATAAGTAGTAATACTTAAATTATTTTTGTTTTCTCTCATAAACACTACAAGAGCAAATTTTCAGAATATTCAGTGGCGTCGAATTTCTGGGTTCTTCGAGATAGTAACTCATCGTATCTGTGCCACTGATATATTTCTATACGAATGCAGTAGATTTTTACCTTTAATTAATTAGATAAGGGAAAAGTTTCATCACTCTACGCCTTTTATTTTAAGAAATAAAAAATAATAGAATATGCAGCATTAGTTTATGTGATAGAAAAAAAATGACACGAATTCCAGAAAAAGTTTAAATAATTTCAGCTTTTTTTAATGACATTGAGTGGGGTTATATGTACAGGATGTCTCTAAAGGGTCTATGCAATGCTCCACCAGATATAGTGCGGCTCAAAATAAGTCGATTTAAGGTGACTATATCCCTGGCCGAGAAATAGTCAATTTTATGGCGTTTTTAGGTACTGAAATCTTGAAAAGTAAAACGTGTAGAACAAAAGTAAGCACAAAAATAAAATTCTTGATGTTCTGTTTATTCATTGTTACCATTTAAATTTACCCAAATAAAAATAATAACTAAAAAAGCGTTTGTAAAACATGCGTCTGCTGTTATCCTAACCCCACATTTTAAGAATTATTTTCACGTACTTATAAATAAAAGTAAACAATTTTAAATGTAGGACTAGGCAAGTAAATGTTATAAGAATATTTATATGTGGATATATAAAAAAGTTAGTATTTTCGTAGATTTCAGTACCTAAAACCTTAATGGTTTGATTGTTTCTTGCACCTGTTTATTCGTTTTACTGCGGCGTCTTTGAAAATACTCAGGTGGCATGACATAACATTCCTATTATTTGATAAGCTTTAGATTATTCAGTCATTAAATATTTGAAATTATTTGTCTTTGTGGAAAACACTATTTAAAGTGTTTAATTAAACTTGCCTTCGTCTAAAAATTGATAATAAGGGAGCTACAAGGTGTCAAAGTTGAAAAAATAAATATATTTTTTTAATATTGCAGCTAATTTCGTGAAAATTCGTATCCGTTTTTTTTTTCGAATGAGAAATTCGAATTTACTGACGATTTCGTTGTATCTCCTAGAGCTTCTGCCAAAACTTTTTTTAGTCACGGTATATTTCACTTTGAGCTGGAAGAATCTTTTCCCCCAACCTGATAATATACATAATAATATAATACATCGGATATAACATAATTAACCTAAAACTAAATATACAAACAATTGCCATCATAGTAGTACACTGATTTTAGAATTTATAATGTTTTGTTAATTTAAAATTATTATTTAACATTTTTGTATTTTTGTAGTAATATTGTAATATTGCCAGCAACATAAAAACACACTGGGCTATTAAAAAATATTTTAACGTAATTTAAATTTTGTAATATTTGATGACATTTTCAATTCAAAAGGTAATGAATTAAATAAATAGGTGATGCATAATAAGTAAAAGATTTTTTGAATATGGAGGAGGAGTGCCTCGGTACATGCAGAAGAAGAGAATTCCTTCTGGACCTGTCATAAACATCTGCCGCAAAAATTAACTTATTTTATTTTTCAAATACACTGAGATATTTCTAATCATGATATTTTGTACACAACATGCAAAATGGATATCTCTCCTCATGTTCATCTTCAACCAACCATTTTCAAAATGATTGGGAGTAACATGGTCTCTCTTATTTAGATTAGTAGAAAATCTCATGCAAGTACTTTGCAATACTTGAATGCGATGTGCATCGTGCGCTGACAAACAGGGACCGTATACAACGTCACAGTAATCAAACAGAAATTCCGTTATTTTCAATTTAACTTTGGTACTTAAAATGTATTTGAATTTGTACAAAGATTTCAACCTGGTATAAGCAGCGTTAATTAAATTATTAACATAATATTTAAAAGACAACTTTTTTTCTATTATGACCCCAAGATTTTTACAAGAATTCTTTATTTGCAGAGATATATTGTTTAAAAATAACTGGTTGTGTAAATCTGCTTTATTGGTCTGGCCATCGGTTCCAACGAGTAAAACATTGGTTTTATCTGGATTTAAATTTCTGATAGACCAAACATATATGTTTTTCAAATCTTCGTTAATATGATTTATGGATAATTCAACATTTTCAGGACAGAACGATAAATACACTTGACAATCATCTGTGTATGGATGTATATTACTCCTTATTACCCCAGGAATATCGGCTGTGTAAACGACAAAAAGTAAAGGACCCAAAATAGACCCCTGCCGTACGCCACTCAAAATATCAAGACAATTAGAAAAAATAAAATCCGAAACCTACGACTACGTTGGTTTGCTGCTGACGATTTGATAGATATATGCGTACAAGGTGCCTGTTGATACACCATAATAATTTTATTTTAGCATAGCAAGTCATGATTTAAACAGTCAAAAGCTTTAGAATAATCTAGCATAAGTGTTGTTACTAAGGATTTGTCCATTGCCTGTAACATATCGTCAGCAATATCAGTAAGAGCAGAGCAGTGCTAAAATCTCCTCTGAAACCTGATTGTTTACAAGGAAGTATTTTAAATTTATCAATGTGAGCCTTTAATTGATTCGTTCAAGTATTTTAGAAAATATACGTATAGTACACTTATCGGTCTTAGTTCATTATATGAGGCAATATCTTTTTTAGAAATAGGTGTTAGAATCGCATGCTTCCAACGTATGGGGCACAAGGCTATTTTTTAGAGAAAAATTTATAATGTGTGTAAGTGCATCACCACAAAAAGGAATACATAGCTTCAGCATTTCTACTGTTATGCCATCCACACCAGAAGCATTTGTAGTAATATTATTTAGAGCTGACAAGATAATATTCTTGTCCGCAGTTTTGAACTTAAAGTTATCAGTAACTTTCTCACATTTATTATTAGAAAAGGTAACACTGTATCTGGGTCTGCTACCATTCGGTGCACTGAGTTTATAAACAAAATTGTTTATAGAATCAAGATGCTTCAGATCATCATGTATATTTAACAATTTAGATTTTTTATGAACATTTAATTTGCGTAGTCATTGCCACAGAAACTTTGAATTTTTATAATTAGAATTTAATTAATTTTCAATATATTTTTTCCTTCGAATGAAGGCTGTGACAAAGTTTCTTCTTTATAGAAGATTCATTTTGCTTCTGTTTGTTCTCTAGAAACAATCAAATTTACGATACTCAGATAGAGCGTTATCTCGTAAGCGCATCATGTGTAATGTTAGAAGTAACCCAAAGATTAAATTTTTTTGTGACTGATTTTTCTTATAGGGGCATGAACATTAAATACAGTTAAAATTCCATTTTCTAAATATTAAACTTTTCCCTCAATGTCATTATCAGAAAACACAAGATTCTAGTTAAATCTCCTTGCAGATGTTTCAAATCGTAACATATTTATATTTTTAATATTTCTACAGTAAATATATTGGGGCGATTGTTTTCTACATATAGGTAAATTTAACAATTTTACTGCAAACAGAATTGATAGAATAGAAAACATACTTTCTAAAAATAATCAAATCAATCTAACACGATCTAAACAATGTAACTAATCTAAAGGATCTAAAAATCTAAAAAATAATTCATTATTATTGACCTGTCTTAAAAGAGGTTCAATATGTTCACCACCTACATGCATGCAGAGATTAATTCTATGCAAAAAGTTAAACTGTACCTTTTATAAGATTTGTGGATTATTTCTAATGACATTTGTACTATGTTGAATTCTTTGTTCTCCAGACGAGATAATCCATCGGGGTCATATCTGGGGAGCGCGGCGGCGAATTTACTGGAGCTTTGTTACCTCTGGGGATCCATATGTTTGGATAGAGTTGATTTACAAAGGCTCGAATATTAATAGAATAATGTTCATATAGTCAATGTCTGAGCCAAAGGTAACTCTTCCAGCAATTCTGTAATCTATTTTCAAGGAAGTCTAAATAATTTTCCCCATTAAGCTGATCAATCAAAATAGTAGAATCAATGATATTATTATCAATTATCCCAGCCCAAACGTTTATTTTAGAGTTACGGAGAGTTACTCTGACATATTTATTGTGAATGTTTGATATTCCAGACTTAGTAAAACAAGCTTCATCTGTAAAGAGGATTTTTCTATTGAAAAACTTATCGTGCACTCTCTGGTCATTGATGCAGCGATAAAAGCCAAGGCGAAATTCGGAATCTCCTGGTAAAAGTTCTCGTTTTTGCATATGATATGGATGTAGCAACTGTTGCCTTGTAACACGATTTACAACATCTTTGGATATGCTTAATTTTAATCCCAGTCTCTTACAACTTATTATGCGTCCCAAAATCGTTCTTCTACATCGGGAATTCTTATGTTACGAACATATCCATAATCAACCATAACAGTCGTTGCAAACATTTGATGA